GGAATCACTGAACAGCCTTTTTGTCTCCAGGACGAGGGAAATCGGCAACGGCAGCCAACTTCTCCGGATCTGGTCGAACAGCCCCCGGGCTAACCACGTGGCCGAGAAACTTTAGTTTCTGATAGCCGAAGTAGCACTTTTCGGGCTTGATAGTAAGGTTCGCTCTCCTTATTGCAGTGAGGACACTTTTTAACCTTGAAAGGTGCTCGTCAAATGTGGTTGAAAACACAACGACATCATCCAAGTATACAAGACACGTCTGCCACTTTAGTCCAGCTAGTACAGTATCCATCATGCGTTGAAACGTGGTGGGAGCGGAACAGAGACCGAAAGGCAGCACTTTAAATTCGTAGAGCCTGTCAGGCGTTACGAACGCGGTTTTCTCACGGTCACCCTCATCAACTTCAATTCGCCAGTACCCTGACTTGAGATCTAGTGATGTAAAGAACTGGTCGTGGCGTAGACGGTCTAAGGCGTCATCAATCCGTGGCAGGGGGTAAACGTCGCGTTTCGTGACTTTGTAAAGCCGTCGATAGTCGACGCAGAAGCGTAGTGTGTTGTCTTTTTTCTTTACTAAGACAACAGGTGACGCCCACGAACTTGTCGAGGGTCGGATGACGTCATCATTCAGCATTTCTTGAACTTGACGCTTAATCACCTCTCTTTCCTTCGGGGACACACGGTATGGATGTTGGCGAAGAGGCCGCGCCGACCCCTCGGTAACAATGCGGTGTTTTGTAGTGGTGGTACGCTGAACTTTCGATGCTGTGGAGAAGCAGTCCGAGAATTCCCTCACAAGGTTTAGCAGCCGCTCTCTTCGTGAATCTGGCAAGTCTGGATTAACGTGAATGCGGCTTCCCAGGTCAGCACAAGCTTTTGCATGCGGTGAAGTCGTATTCAATGTGCCGATATCGAAAAAAAATTGCCCGCAGCTTCCCTCGGGGGAACACTGAGGAGGATGCGGACCATATAATTGGTTAACGGGGTGTTAAAGTGCGACTTACTTGGGTCGATGGCTAAATTGGTTAACGTGGTTGTGAAATGGGGTGTTAAATTGCGACTTACTTGGGTCGATGGCTAAATTGGTTAACGTGGTTGTAGGAGGGGGTGTTAAATGAGTGAACACGTACACACGTATGCGAAAGGGCGGCGCTGGTCGAAGGGACGTCGATCATTGTGTTTGTGGATTCGTTGGAATTCATTTCACCGCGACCTTGGACGTCGACGCGCCGTACAAACCAACCGACGAGCGGCAACTGAGCGAGCGAGCGCCGACCTTGAGTATATATACAGCACGACGGTGCATGCACTGTCAGCTGTTGAATGTTCTCGAAGCGCGACGCCACATGCGCGTCCACTGGAGAATCAGGAGAATTGTAGATGTCGAACGCGGTGTGTAGAAGAGGAAGGGTGCACAGATGGTGGAGGAGTGAAGCGCGCGCGGTGTGTAGAGGAGGAAGGGATGCACAGATGGTGGAAGAGTGGGCGACGGCGCATGCGCGCGCGTCAGCTGTCGAATGTTCGAGAAGCGGTGCGGACGGCGCACTACAAGGCGCGAGTATAAGATGCTCCGCATCTAAAAGTCGGCGATATCATTGAGGAAAGCGACAGTAGTCCCTCTAGGAACGTGTGAAACTCATTGCTGAAGTTGGTCAGCAGAACTCGAGAGCGTTTATTCTCTAACCGAACAAGGCATCAGGCTATGCATATGTTTCGTTTGAGCAGCAGCGGGATATTTGCCTCTGCAATACCTTCATAGTCGTTGAATTCGTCAGAAACGTCGCAGGCTACCAAGGTGAACACGTTACTCTTCGGCGGTAACGTGACGTCATCGTCAACAATTCTCAAAGCATTGACGTAACTGCCATGAGGGTTGCGCGCTAAAGCGTGTGCCGTAGAAAACGTCACTTGCGACTGTTGCAAATCAATCACGGCTCCATTATCACGCAGAAAGTCCAGTCTGAAAATTAGGTCCCTCGAGCAACTCGGCAGTATTACCAAATCTCCGAGATACGTAAATCCGTGAATACTGACTCGCGCTGTGCACCGCCCCACCGGAGTAAGAAGATGGCCTCCTGCCGCACGTATCTGCGACCCAGCACACTGGGTACAAACCTTCTTCAGCCTGCAGGCAAGACCCAAGCTCATAACGGAAGTGTCTGCTCTAGTGTCAATTAGCGCCATTACTTCTTCGTCGTCCACAGTTACCGCAATGTTTGATGTCACCACTCTTCGCATCACGTTTGACTGCGTCTGTACATCTTTTTGCTGCTGTCGCTGTCGTCGTAGTGGAGGATCTTCCGTAGAGTCAGCGTCAGCGGCCTCACCTCCGGAGGTCGCTGAACTCAGTTTTCCCGACTTGCAGGACTGGGTGAACGGCGTCTTGGAGCGCCGCGTGAATAGGCTGGGCTCGGTGACCTGTAGCAAGCAGGTGACGACGAGCGAGGCTCTTGTGACTGATGTTCGATACTGCGACGATTCGAGATGAAGCTCTCTATTTCCTGTGGTCGCTCGCCAGGTCGTGGACGAGGGGCATTGGGCGAAAATCCACGGAGACCCACACGACGGTATGGACATGTTCGATAGACGTGTCCGGCTTCCCCGCAATGGAAACAAAGGGGCCTGTGGTCGGGTGTACGCCAGATGTCACTCTTTCTCGGTCTTGCTTCGGCGATCAACGGGGAGCTGCGAGGGCGGAAGCCCACCTCCATTTGCTGAGCGTGTCGCTCATTGGGGTAAAACACGCTGGTTGAACTGCACGATGGAGGACGTCGCACTGCTTCCGCGTAGCTCATCTCGACGCAGTGCCTCTGTTGTGGCACCTCGGATGGTTGGGGAGCGTGAACGGCTTGCCGTAGCTCGGCGCGTACCATCTCCGCAATGGAGAACTGCTCTGCAAGTGAAGCAGTCACCTGCATCTTTTGTAGCTCTTCCTTAATGAGAGCTCTGATAAGCTCTCGCAACGCGCTGATGTCATTGCCGAGAGTGACAGAAGTGACCTCTCTTGGGTTTACACCACGGTTATACTGCCTGGCACGCTGTTGAAGGGCCCTCTCCATGGCAGTGGCTTCCTCATGGAACTCCGCAAGTGTCGCAGGCGGGTTTCGAATCAGGCCGGCAAAAATCTCTTCTTTAACACAACGCATTAGGTGGCGAACTTTCTTGGATTCGGATATAGAGGGCTCCGCACGCCTGAAAAGCCGATCCATGTCCTCTACGTAAGTCGTCACCCTTTCGTTAGGGCCTTGAACCCTTACCTCTATAGCACGCTCCGCTGTCTCTTTCCTGTCCTCTCGGGCAAATGCCTTGAGGAACTGCCGTTGAAACTCATCCCATGACGTAAGCGCTGCTTCATGGTTCTCAAACCACGTTTTCGCGGAGTCCTCCAGGAAGCAGTACACATAGCGCAGCTTACGCTCTGGGGCCCAATCGTTGATGACGGCGACCCGGTTGAAATGCTCGAGCCAGTCGTCGGCATCTTCAAAAGCAGCTCCGTGAAATGTCTTCGGCGTCTTGGGCTGGTTGATAACCAGGTGCGCTGGTGCTGGCGCGGTGACGTTAGGCGGTGTTTGATTCATAGTCCTCTGACGTTCAGGCAGCAAACCGTGCTGTGGCTCGAGTCCCTGGAGACGACGGCTGGAACGTACGTGCACAGGGGTAAGCTCGGCTGAGATACTCGATGGACTTGCGTCAGGGGTGCTCTCAGGGGACCGTATCATCTACCGTGCCCAGCACTTCCACCAGAAAATGTCACAAAGACACAGGCACGCAGGTACAAAATAGGGCGTTTACTTTCGTAACCCAAGGGCCAGCAACGCGAACACCAGAGCACGCGCACACAGAACTACTTCGTTGTCCTCTTCAGAGGCTGGCTACTATAGTTGCCAGCCTACCTGGCGTCAATATAAACTACCTGGTTTCTCTGTGGCAAGGAGTATGATAGACATGACGAAATGTATGTGAACATTTCTTTTTTTCCGGTAGCTGCTCTTAAACCTTATGTAAAAGTTATGATAATGTGTAAAGTTCCTGAAATGCACTCGCGAATTATGTGTTCGCTGTCAGACTTAGTCTAACAAGTGGCTTCTACTTCTATAGCCTGGAAATATTCGCATAAGCAAGCCCAGTGATTGCAGAACATGACGAAGCGTGGAATCACTGCTACTTTCTGTATTCAGGCTTTCTCTCAGCATATAAGACATTCGCTGCTAATAGCATTAGCAGCTGCCCTGTACATGTTTCCGACAATGCGCTTGATAAAGCTCACTGCTACGCGAGGTGTAGTTGAATCACGTAGGTTCCGAAATTCACTGAAGTGTAACATTTATCGTTTCATTTTCGCAGAATTTGCCAACATTGCATTTGAATTGTGCTATTGTAGCCAGAACTGTCCCTATCTACTTATTTTTTAATGTTAAGAAAACATTTAAATACTCACCTTGCTACAATGCAGTTTCACAACTTAACAAATGACAGTACAGTCACTTCAGTTGCGCGCAAGAACAAACACCCGTTCAATATTCGGACTGAATGCATGGGACAGAACAATGAAAGTTGCCTCTCCTTTCATCGTCTGATTGTTCCCCGTTACCGAACGTGCCAAATGCGAACTACGTCCTTTTTCAGGTGCACGCGTCTTGTCATTGATTCATCCTGGGGGATGTACTGAATTACTTTCGAGGCCTTCGGGCTTCTAGAGCACGTTTCTTCGTGTATCTTGCATACTTCTTACAACGGTGGCCCACTGCTGGTCCGCAAGCGGTGGCCGCCTTCACCTGCGAAAGTCTTGACAAGCAAGAAAAATTACCTTCTGTTTTGTCTCGCTGCGACATCGCAGCACGTGCTCGCCCGAACGGGTATCATATCTCGCTTTCATTTTCCAATGGCTCAGGCTTTCCTAATGGCCCAGAATAATAGGAATAGTTCACATAATAGTAAAATGTTACTGCAAACAAATTTATTTTAATCACATTGTTATTTCACGTACAGCTGCTCTCTTTATAGGGAGCAGTGCAGTGCTTGAGCTCTTTGTGCAAATAGCGGGAGCCCTGGAAAATCTATCGCGTAAGTGTGAACACGTGTGTATAAAGCACAAATAGAACAATTAAATTTGTAGCATATCAGTAGCATTCCCTCGCTGGGGTGTTTATATATGCACACGCAAATAACGCTGGTCATTGCATAACGAAACTACTCCAACTAACAAGCATATTTCGCACCGCAGTGTGAAGAAGTTATTATGTTGTTTAATTTTTCAATTACTTTTGGAAGCTGTGGCGTTCCAACTTTTCGAAGATACAGAAACTTTGCACATTTTAGTTGTGCCTTCTTGCTTGTCAGCTGTCGCCCCTATTTTATAACTCACGGGGGCACGATAGTTCAAAAATATTCCTCAGTGTCCCATGCAACGTGGGATTAGACACTATGCGAAGCTTCCAACGAGTAGTAACTATATGCCGCTTTCTTCGACTCGGAGCTAGGCGTTCTGTGGCAGATCATTTTCTTTGTGTAAATTTAATGGCTGTCGGGCGAGACGCGTGCTTCACAGACACGTCTACTACTGTATCACACTCAAATGGAAGTTTCAATTACGAAGTGTGTTATTGCATGCTGCAAGCAATTTCGGCGTCTATCTGCGTATCTATCAATCTATCTATCTATCTATCTATCTATCTATCCATCCATCCGCTTACGACTGGATGCTCTCGGGAACACCCCTCTAACTTGGCGTGAGCCAAAAGTAGTATGGGAGAGTGAGATGGTTTGACGAACATGACGCTCTGGTCAAGACATCAATAATGTCGCAATCACGTCGCGTACGTTGTCGAATACTTTCCGACAGACAATGGCACATACCCTCAGGTGGGTATGTGCCACTGTTATGTGGGTATGTGTCGCAGGTTAACGAGAGTATCTACCCAGACATGGCAAGAACACACGCGGGTAATTTCAACGCGTCAGCGCTAGGAAAACCTGACATCTGCCGCAGTGACCCAATCAATGTAAAGGATAAATGTCAAAGTCCTAGCAGAAATCAAACCCCAATCAAGCATTCTACCATGGAGCCCCACCAGGTAATGATTAACTACTTTTCAAATAGAGCCATATGTTTGTGAAACGTCAACTGTGGTTTCAGTGCTCGCCATCAGATTTTAAAAACATCACGCACCTACTCCTCTGATACAGCCGTCACGTCAGCTTATCGTAAATTGTAGTTAAGTGACATGCGCTGAAGTCCGAGCGCTTTATATGAGCTGATCACTTCTGGTACTTCTAATACTGAAGTTCCTATTTACATCTTGCGTGCACATTCAAACAATGGGCTATATAAACATCCACAACTGCTCAACGTATGTCTGTGCGTGCAAATTTGTACCTAGATTTCTCGCCATTTCATAACGTATCGCTAAATGAACAAATCACATCCCCGTTCACATTCCATCTGCATGCTTCGCATAACATTGATCCCCAAGGTACGTGAGATCTGCCGAATTCTTTATTTCTGCGTATGGGTGACGCTCGCGTTCGAGCATCGATTTGAAGTATATTGAGCAAAACTAACCTTCAAAATCCCACGTAAGGGCCAGCCAGTATTCACCCGCAGTAGTCAACTTTAGGCAACAGTGTCTTGTTATTAAGAAGTACTACCTGGTGCCACCCAACTATATTCAGCTCTACTCAACGCTGACAGTTAGCCAGAATTATTCAGGACTAGCTGACAGCTAGCTCACTCCAACACTAACAAGCGCTAGCCAGTATCAACCAACACAAGTCGGCAGTTGTTAGTACATAGTACACTAACACTTGACATGACAAGTCCACACTAAATGCTAGTCAAGCGGAGTTGGCACTATGCAAGTGAATGCAGTACATGTCATTGTATGAATGTCGTGGGACGTCACTAGGTTATCTCATGGATATGTTCATATTCCAGCAAAAGAAACACAGCTGCAATGACAACTTGCCAGTTAATCTAATAATGTCAAGATGTTTCGTTCTTGTCAGGCATCAAAATACGCCTTGAAAATATGTCTCTTGATATCGCCTACGTTGCTCTGGTTGCAGGGAAACAGCAATGTATTCAAATACATTTTTTAGCTCCGAGTCAGTTTCTTGCTGCACGTTTATTGGTGTCACGTTTTAACAGCGTTAGTAGCTAAGTGCCTGAAATATTTCATCCTCTACGTGCTTCTCTCAGATAATGCACTGTAGGTTGATTTGTATCCGTAAACATATTTATGGGAATCTATATATACAGTGCTCATTTCATCAGTGCACCAATACCTTGTGTAAGTACGATGATCAGTACCTTGTTCGTAATATTGTCATTAGAAATTGTTCTACTCATTGTCGCAAGCAAACTTTATTTTGCTGATAAATATGCTACACGTTACAAACTACTTCTGCAGATCTCATGACTGCAGCTACTCCATTGTGGCTCTGGTTAGATGAAGTGCTGGCCATTTGTATAACCTGATTTCGCTGAGTAGTGACGAACCATCATGCTTTAGGAACCACTCGCTGCGTCGCACCATCTACCGCTAAAATATGTGCAAGGGTGTTTCTGTATACTATTTTAGGTAGATGCTGGTGAAATCTCAATATTACAACAATATTTTCTCTGTATACACTTTAGGTTCTCTACTTAAAACTATCGCCGTACCATGTTCTTCGAGACAGCTCAAAAACTTCTGAAAGGAGCAAAGGCCACGCGCAAAGTACAAGGCACAGCTAAAGCCTTTAGCCTGGTGCTACGATCTCGCAGCAACAATTTCTATTCACAGTGACTTGGTTCTGCTTCAGATGTGTAATCACTGTTAGTGCACAAATGCTACATCAGCATTACTAAATGATGGCACGGGTTTTTGTTCTTTTGTTTGCATGCAGTAGATGAAACAGATGCCCCGTCCACACGGTCCCTTTAATTTTTGTTTATGAAAGCGAAGCATCAGAGCCACTACTTGCTACATATGCTACCGCGATTCTCTAGTTTCGTTACTAGCTGACCGAGGGTACCAGCTAAAACTGACCTATCTATCTTATGTATAATTGCCCCACCCTTTTTGCCTTCTTCATGCACAATATATACCGCCCAACCTTGTATTTTTTAACTGCATCGTACAGAAATCTTCTCCCCTCATCAATATTCTTCAAAAAATGGCTGAGAAATATCTGCTTCTGAGTATTATATTGATTGGGATCATCACCGCTAAAATCGCAGGCAAGTACACCTGTATTTTTTTTTCCTGTGATCATAAAGTTAAAGTGTAGTGACCGTATCTCAACTCTCAAGAGCGTTTTCAATGTGCCATATAGCTCGCCTCTGAAATGTGTTTACAAACAAATTTCTGAAAAATATAATTCATGAATTGAGTATACAAGCAGAAAAGCACTGTCTGATTTTATATTGACACTAGGACACCTACTCAGCCTACTAGTCCTTTATTGCGCTGTAAAAGTGGCGTTGATGTGTAATTGGGGGGACAGTAAAGGTGAATTCTAGCTTCACGTCTTGATTAAAAGCATTCCAGAATCACTAAAACATATCGGGTCATTTTTGTGCAGACAATACGTAACCTTACAAAACATTGATATAAGGGTCCTCATGCCGCTAGGGCAACTCACTTTCAAACAAGGGCAACGATGTCACATACACCATCACTCCCATTATGGTTTGATAGGTGGCTCTACAACTTGTTTACTGAATAATGCCTAAAACACAAAAGCGCAGTCACACAGGGAGCTAATTTAACACGGATGTGGTATTTCCCTTTAGTATCTGTTAGGGTGAATTCGCTATTAGGTAAAATCCACGAAGCATCTGGTGTTTAACGAAAACTACGATGACTGGAGTGCATGGGCTACTAAACATTCATGGCGTGCGTTTTAGTGACCTTGTCGAGCGAGTTTCTCTGTGTATTTCAGCGTGCCTTTGAAGACGAGAACTGATGAGTCGTGACAAGCCGCGCTGTATACCACCCGCTAGGAAGACTACTGCTGCCACGCCAACCGTATTCACACAACCAACCACATGGCTCCCCATTCTCTGTGCGACGCTATGCAGCGTGCTTCAGTTCTCCCTTTGTGGCATGATGGGAGCGAGGACGGTGGTCTACCTGCGCCGAAGTTGTATGGATAGTCACAACGGCAACACCGGCAATCTGCGTCGGACTATCCAGCGGATGTCATTCATCTTGTAACGTGATAAATCGGAAACGCCAGTACACTGGTCAACTATCATGTCTAGAACGACAGAGAGTCCCGCTCAAAACAGTATTAGCGACATCTGCCGTTTGCAATGGACCACATCTGAGCATGAGCGGTGCCAGTGATGTGGTTGCCATGCAGTTCCCGTAGTTGTTTCGCCGCGGCTACAACTGTTTTCGCCGCCTGAAGCGTTGTATATACTGTTATTTGCGGAAAAAAAGTCCTATCACCCGAATTCGTGCTTTTTATACTCTGAACTTATCGTCGGTTCGTGCTGTAATACCCAATCAAAAAAGATTTTCGTTCGCATTTCTTCTTTTTTTGTGTTTTGTTTTGTTTTGTATTGTACTTGCACTAAACCGTTCAAAGTGCCTCTGATGTCCAAAGTGGTTGTTACAACCACATTGACAAACAAGAATAAAAGACACAAGGGAGGTACGTCCCTGCCCACGTGCAAGCTCAGGTGCGCAGATGTGTCGTTTTTATGACTGCATGCATTGCAGGTGACGCTCATGCAGTTGCGAGGTCGACGCTTCGCCGTTATGGACATGAGTTGATGATGCACACTACGTACAAGAGGGCAAAATGGCAGGCTGAAACGAGAGTAGAAAGTCAACTGCAAGCTGAACGTGGGAGGATGCATAAAGCCGACAGTGAAGAGCTCTAGTCGCGGCAACAGACGCCATGACTTCGAAAAGTAACGACAGTAATGAGCACATGCAATAGGGAGCGTTCCACAAGACATTTATCGTTTGGTTGGTATAAACAGTGCTTCGGTTACGAGGATAAACAAGCATAACGAAGCAAACACGCTTTTCCTTGCATATGCTGGACTTAGCAGACCTAAGCTACATCCTTTGCTTTACCACATATTCTACACCCCTTAAACACGACAGCCCTGGCAGGTGTTCAGCTATACGCAGGGAAATCTGGCACTCGCATTACCCAAAAGCTTATCTTTCAAGGTTTGTGACTGTTTCTTGAATGAAATGTTCATAGTGATGCAAGTTTACGTGCTACAGGCCACCGTCAAAGCTATGTTTACTCCAGGAATCGTATATATAGATGCGCCCCTTAGCATCTATGCCATATAAACCACTTTAAATAGGGCATTGTCTTGAGGAGTCCTACATAATAACTTGAGGAGTCCTACATTCCTAAACCACGAGGTGATAATGACACACGTCGTAGTAACTGGTTCCAGATGTTCCAACCCCCTTAAGTTCTCTAATGTGCTTCTAATTATAAACACATGGTCCTCCATCACTTTATATTATTCCTATTATTACGCTCTGTCTACATCTTATGTCATTCATTAGCAGGCCATTGTAATCATTACAGCATGAGGCCACGCATAACTGCCATGCGCGTCTGGGAAAAGAGTTGCGATTATCTATGAAGGCATGAAGAAAAACTCCATTGTTTACCATTTCTCTTTAATGTAGGTTACCGTACATGTCAAGGACGAGAACGAGAGTGTGGACGAAATAGGCGTCCGAACTGTCTTGAAAAAAACCATCAACCCTACTTCCAATGCAGTAAGTAGTTCGCATGTTTTCGCATCGATACTAAAGGCGGAAGCATCTCATAAACTAGAGTGTAGTCAAACGTAACCGGAATAGCGTTGCATTGTGCCTCTACTTCTGGTATGCATTCGAGTGTAGACGTGAAACATTGCAGGTTTTGGGGACATTTTTTAACACCCCGCTGTGTGTGTCCAAAAACAAGGCAAGGAGGAAAAGATAGAATTTCGCGATGAGAAATTCGTAAACAGGAGGTTGTTGTGTTCGCGAGCGGATGTTTCGACATATAGACATACCTTCTTAATGGCCGCGCCAACAGAAAACAAACATTATGAACAGTGTATTTGTCGAAACCTTTGAACCCCACCAGCACCCCCCCCCCCCCGCCCTGTTTACAAAATTCCGCGTGCGCGTGCGCGCGTGTGAGTTTGTGTGAGAAAAAGAGAGATGCACGTGTACATTGTTTTGCTTGTATTTCATTTCATTTGCCACCAGTCACACCAGTGAAATTCTTCTTAGACTGGTATTCCGTTAAGCATAGGTCAAGGAACGTTTTCATTTCATTATACAATAAAACTACGCCATATCCTTCTAAAGGGAACCATGTTTAAATGTGAAGCAGCCGTCGCTAAGGACTTACACTGGCGGAGGCATCGACACTAGTGCTCATGGCGGCGTTTCGCAGGAGAGAAACCTCGGGAGGCACAAAGCACGCAGTGATGGACCGATGCTTCGTACTCGAACATTCCAATCGATGCTAATATATATTGAGAGACAGACGACTTCCATTGGACATAGGGACCCACAGTCCACATTTAACGCGATAGCGTTATACCCTTGTCACACGTAGCAACTTAAGTGCACTTTGAGCGAGTGTACTTCGCCGCGAATGTCATTTGCACGCTGTCACACGAGCAAGTTTACTGTCACTCGCTGCAAGGTACACTTGGCGGCAAGTGCGTTCCCCAACCCCACTTCACTGCGACAGCTGCGATGAAGTGTGCATAACCTCGGTACCAGTGGCTTGCATACAGAAAGACGCTGTTGCCTGAAGTGGCACTCATACTATATTTAAATCATTGTTTTGTTATGATGGATACTGTTATGTATAAAGCAAGTCATAAAATACAACAATAACCTCGCTAATTTCCCCGTCGGGCTGTTTGCGGCCACGTCCGCTAGGGGGATGTGGCAGCACATGCACAGCAATGGCTGCGTCCGTCGCGTTGTTTACTTCGACGTACACTTGCGCATGTGTTGGTGAGTTGTTCTCTAATCACTTAGGAATGCCATGTTCCATGGGTGCTACTTCCATGAAGACAACGTAGTCCGACGATGAGACACTGGCGCAAAAAATAACAAACTATACGTTGTGCTACAAATCCGTCAATCGCCACAGCCATCATATTCACAGTACACTTCGCTTTCTCGTGTAGCAGCGAACCGCGAAAATGACACTTCGTGAGCGTAAGTACACTCGCTCAAGGGCACTTAAGTTGCCACGTGTGACAGGGGTGTTAGAGAGCTTGTGTCGCACAAATTCTGCCGTCGGCGTCGGCACCGGTGGTTGTAAGCGAAAGATAGTCCGTGAGCAAAAAATCAAGAAGGAAACAAATAAAATAAAGAATAAAATTTTCGGTCCCATTGAGGATTTCCCCCGGGCCGTTCACGTGGCAAGCACGTGTCTTACCACAAAGGCACGATGTTAGTTGGAGCTGCTTCGGGAAAACACACTACATAAATGCCGTGTAGTGGAAGGAGTCTCCTTAACGCATTTTGTTCGACAGGTGTCACGCCGAAAACGAGCCCATTTGGCGATTTGTTTCGCGCATTTGGGAGGCCATTAAACTACGTCTAAAAAGGCCGGGATAGTGCAGCCATCGCCGCTAAAAATACACAGGAACTTTCAAACAGCTCTAAAAAGGGACAACTATGTCCATCTAGCGGAAAATATGTCATGCCTTTCCAGCGGCGTTGAACAAGCAAACAGCAAACGCTAGATAATGTGCTGCCATTTGCGAGGAATTGTGAGACTCCTTATGGCCCTTCAAGGAAATGCCATTTCAACGCACTAGTAGCGGCTCGATTTCGCTATCACGTTCAACTCTTAAAGGCGTAGCTTAAGGGTCCCACAGTTTTTTATTTGAAGCGCAGGCTGCAAATTTTTATGGTTAAACATTGCAAACGAGAAACCTTGGTGATCAATATATGGAGTGGTGAGTGAACGGTTGTGCAGCGCGAGCAGTCAGGTTTTTGGAATAAGAAAACTTGCTAGCGGATCTTGCCTGCGTCGGCGTTGCGGGGCGAGAGTGAGGAGAGCGTAGGAGAGGAGAGAGGGCAAAAAGACACGCATGCGAATTGGGGTTGTGAACTCTGCAGAGACGAATTCCTAGCGAAGAGAGAGGGGGGAGAGTGCGTGGCTAGCAGACGCTACCTGCGTAAGCGTTGCGAGATGAGAGAGGGGGAGCGTAGGAGAGGGAAGCGGTGCACATGCGCCGTAAAGGTGGTTACGCGGCACACCACTGGACTGAACTCCGCCATAAGGTGCTTCGCTTCTAATATGCTGGCATCATAGGCGTATCAACCGGGGGGAGGGCAAGGGGACGCAAGCCCCCACTGAAAAAAGTAGGGGGGAGGGGCTGAGCCCCCCCCCCCCTTAGACAGTGGTTGTTGTCGGCTGCATGCTGGGGAAAACAACCAAGGCAAAATTTTCCTTCACAGCCTTAATCACTCAATATATTATTACGAGAAAAAATATTACGAGATAACCCTACAATGTAGTGATATTTTCTAACATTTCATCAATGAAGATTTTCCTTGAAGGCTCTTTGCGACACTTTCCGCGCTCTGCAGTAGCAGTGCAGATCAAGCTAGCGCTGAACAGGGGCCCTATATATTACACCACTTGTTCATGTTTTTAATCTGTTGCGACTGGCCGATGCAGATACAGATTGGAAGTAACAAACTTCTTATGGACCGGTCAAAGCATTTGCTGCTTCAGGAAAATCATTTTCTTTCCTCAAAAAGGATTACCATCCCCACTGCTCTGTCGAAGCTGCTGTGAGCACAACATTCCGAGTAATCTTTCTAAATATTTTAGTTTTGCCGTATTTGAAACAGCCAAGAAAGGTTTTCGCTTTAATCTGCGATAAATCTGATCAGCCTTGCTTATGGCAACTTGGAGCGATGGAGGCAGCTTGCAAAGCGGCGACGAATAAAGCGGTGGACTCGAGCTCAGTTGGAAGCTAAAGTAGATAGAAATGCTCAAAATACCTTTGGTTTCTGAAGGAGTGCTTCACATTGAAAACCGGAATTCTTTATGAGCTGTTTTTGTCATTAAAAATTTCATTCAATGATAAAATAATTACTGTTGAGGAGGCCGCCATCAACATAATTGTATTACTGCGGAAAGGTGTGAGGTAATGCATAAAAACCTGTCATGTTTCATATTATCACATGCATATACATGTTATTACACATATTATTACAAACATATACGTGTTCCCTTAGTGCATGCTGCTTTTAACTGACTGTCCTTTTTAACGCTATTGAACAAGTGTTTTGTGCATAAAAAATTATATGAAAGTGCGAGCGCGTCGAAGAAGTTGTCTCTCTCTCTCTCTCTCTCTCTCTCTCTATATATATATATATATATATATATATATATATATATATATATATATATATATATATATATATATATATATATATATATCTTTGTGTGTGTGTGTGTGTGCGTGTGTGTGTGTGTGTGTGTGTGTGTGTGTGTGTGTGTGTGTGTGTGTGTGTGTGTGTGTGTGTGTGTGTGTGTGTGTGTGTGTAACGTAAGATAGAAGTAGAAGCCGAGAAGGAAGAAGTGAGAATGGAATAAACATGGCGTATGGGCCAGGCCACGCCTCCCATTCATCATAGCGTCTCACGAGTCGACAGGATGGAGACCTGCCTGCCCCTTCATCAGTCGCTCATCATCTACGCAGTTCTCCGCATGACAACCTGAGCATACATGGACTACCGTGCAAGCGCCTAGCATTACGCATCGACCAGCATCATGTCCGAAGCATCTACTGACCTTCCCATCCCCGAGTACACCAGGAGCAGCGGACGATGAACCCGTACAAGACTGGTTTCGACCTGTTCGAGCTCCACGCTACAGCTGCATCTTGGTTCGGAATTGGAGATGATCACCAACTTCACTGACTACATCTCAGGTGAGGCATTCAAGTTTTACCTCACCCACATCTTCGAGAACGATGCAGTCTTGGAAAAAGATCAAAGAAGAAATGATCACCCGTTTCAAAGAATACGATGAAGATCTGTCCATACCTCATCAGCGGAAGGCCTTTCAACTCACCCATCACAGTTACGCGAAGTCTTCCCGCAGTAAGCCTATTTTCCAAACGAGACCTCAGAGAAAATATACCACCATTGCACTATCGTATGACTCTTCCGAAAAAACGTCACGCATATGGACACCGACTGGTAACTTGCATGTCGCAACAGACAAGGTAAAGCCTCCGTATACCGAAAGGAATCTAGATCATTTCGCCAAAAGACTAAACCTAAAGCCGGATTTCCCAAGCGCAATGAAATCGGCATTTTCAACGTGCTTCACTGGACCACAACACTTGAGATGTTACTGAACCACCCGAATCTTATGATGCTCGTGTCACACGCAAGGCCCAGATGGTTTCGAACGTGTGACGGCATTTACGCGCGACGAGTTCATGAATCCTCACAATACCAGCCCACACCCTGATGCTTCAACACCAGATTCTTTCAAAAGACGTTCTCAGGCTCAATACGCAGCAGAAAGAAAAACAAACGTCATCACAAGCACCTCAAGCCATGTCTGCTGTGCTCTTATCTTCAAGTGATAACACACATGTGAGTCGAAGCACTACAGCAGCTTCGAATCCAGCTAAGCCGGCACATTGTGAACTTACAGAAACATTTACAAGGAATGATGACACACAATCCATCTGGGAAGCTTTCCCATCAGTCTGCCACACTGATTTTATCTCAAGAAAAGCCCTGTAGTATAGTATCGACCACCGACTATCTACTGATCACATCACCATGCAAAGAAAAGCAGACTCATGTTCCTGAGAGATGCCCATCTGACCAACTTTCGCAAGAAAACGAGCTATTTCAACAAAGGCAATTCCACGAACCCCAGGGACTACAACGGCTACTCGAACAAGAACAACGATCAAGTGAAACCTCCTCACGAGTACACTTGTGGCTTAAAGGTCATAAGAGACAACAGCAATTAAAGAAGCAAAGACAAAGTCAATGCCTAAGCCATCATCGCAGAAAGCAACGTCGACAAAATTTTCTGCACCAGTTCTCAAGGCCGTGTCTGTGATCCAACAAACCGAGAGAACGCCACAGAAAGTTACGAAAAAGGCATGAAGCTACCACGTATACAACGGAGAAAAAAAGACTTCCTCCCATCAGCCTTGGCTCTCACGCGCGCCGACTATAGAAGCAAAGCGTCTGTTGCCACGATGGCACTGGATCCGACGCCAAAGACATCCGTCAATCCAAATATACACAGATTTCAAGCCTTGTTCGTTCTTTACAAGACCTCAAGTCGTATCATCATCAGTGCAGATGTGCAGGGTGGGGTTATGCCATCCAGGACGCAACAGCCAGCCTCGTCCACCCGAGTTTTCTTAGATATGGCCGGACTGCTTCCCTCTGCTGTAGATGTTTTGTGCGAGTTAAGGATCTCCCTTCTGAAATGGAACTAGGGTGCATTTTGACGATAGATAGATAGATAGATAGATAGATAGATAGATAGATAGATAGATAGATAGATAGATAGATAGATAGATAGATAGATAGATAGATAGATAGATAGATAGATAGATAGATAGATAGATAGATAGATAGATAGATAGATAGATAGATAGATAGATAGATAGATAGATAGATAGATAGATAGATAGATAGATAGATAGATAGATAGATAGATAGATAGATAGATAGATAGATAGATAGATAGATAGATAGATAGATAGATAGATAGATAGATAGATAGATAGATAGATAGATAGATAGATAGATAGATAGATAGATAGATAGATAGATAGATAGATAGATAGATAGATAGATAGATAGATAGATAGATAGATAGATAGATAGATAGATAGATAGATAGATAGATAGATAGATAGATAGATAGATAGATACGTTCAAAGGCGCAGATGTTCGCAAATAAATGCTTGACATTTAATAAATGCCAAAAGCTGAGCGCCTAAATGCCACGCAGTTCGCATTTCCTTATCGCGTAAGTGCACGTGTAGGCAAGCGAAAGCTGCCGGTATTTATCTCTAAGTTAAAGGAAGACAATATGCTTCATTCGGGCTAGTAAAAAGTCTGCAAAGTGTAAAACATGCGTTACTCCGCCCAAAGTCAACACTGTTCCACCGCAGCGTCAGAAGCGTTTGGGATATGGCGGTGGGCCAGACAGTCGAGGTATACTTCCCCGTTCCAGCTGACATCATTTGTGGGCAATGAACGTGTTTCTATTTTACTTATTTATTTACCTCTTTGTTTATTAGTCTGATTGCTTACCTATTCTCATTTTTATTCATATAATCATATGTATTCCAGGGAAAAACTAAAAATTGGTGTATGCAACAGTACTTTGACAAGGAAAAAAGCGCTAGAACGCTATAAGGCATTGCAAAAATAAAAATCTATGCCATGCAAAAGAAATGAAATTGTTGATTATCGTTCTAACGCCTTTCTAGATGTTCGCGAAAGTTTACGGTCAGTGATTTTGACAAATGCTGCTGCTCAACACTAATGCAGGTCTTTCACTGTCTAGGCCTGATGAATGAACATTGTGAAGTTGCTTGGAAATCATATTGCAGACGACCTTATTTCCTGACATGCTATGATGGGTATACATATTGCGACTGCGTATGTGGTGAGTTCATTAAGCTTTCAAGAGATCTGTTTTTCGAGCGAAATGTGACACGTGTGTCCTGCTAACTATCATATTAGCAGTGTTTTCAGCAAAAAGATTCGGCGAACGCTTCAGCTGCTCATTTAAAAGTGCAACGTCATAGCGTGATCGGGTCGTTGTGCATCGCCTTCATCAATTGCCAGCCTCGTTTGGGTTCTTGGCGAGTACCATGCCGCAAGAAAACGAACGACTGTATGCGTAAAATTAGCCACTTCTAATTATTCTAGAATACCCGGTGCTAGTACAGTTGCAAACGACCTGCTATGCCCCTAGAGAGAGATGACGGAAAACCGGAAAGTTAACCAGATATTGGTATCCGTCTTTCTACCGAGCACTGTAGGTGGTAAAATAGGGGCCACGAATTGCTCATGCGCCCAGGAGAAAAATACCGCACACAGGAAGGGTGTTCTGGCTACATCGGTTCAGAGCGGCCGGTCTATCGCAAAAAGTGCAGTAGCGCTTACAAGGCATTCTTCTGTGACGTTCAGTGGTGGCTATATTGTAAAATTTCTTCCTCCGACAGAAGATGATTATCTAATTTGCGGAACTCACTGCGAAAGCATAGTCACTGTCCACTATATTGGAGGCTGTCACGGTTATTTGTTACCACAGTGGTCACAGGCAGCGGTGTAGGCAACGCTGGAAGCGTAGGCGTTGGTAAACGCAACGCCCAACCACAGTCTACACAAAATGGTCGCGTCTGCTTGGCGAAGCCTCGACGGGACTTCAAGACTAATTGTAGGGTCAATCGAGTACCGTCGGGCATGCTTGAAGTGTGGTTGATTCCACTGTGACGTGGTGTGTTGACGCGCGAACCAGTGGAGCTTCCCTGTGGCATTGGTTCCAGAAAGCGGTAGTGCAGTTGTTGTTGTTGTTCTCCTATTGTTAGTGGCGCATACCCACTGTGGGGTATTGGCCAAGAATCGAGTGGTTTCAAAATTTGCTGTTCAGATTTGCAATGATGGAGGTATAACAGAAAGATTACCGATAGCCTATAGGCAAGTGTGGTGCTTAATGTAATGCATACAAATATTTACATAAGCAAATTTATTCTTAGAATAGAGCAATAATCTGATTTTATACGTATATAATTATGTGGACATGTTAAGATAATGAAACTGGTTAATTAGTCAACCTATTATTTTAATCAATATAGTCCCGGATGGCCGCGCATACTGTCCCATTAGAGAAACCAGAAATGGAAGCTCCAAAAGACAAAATGACAGGCAGAGATAATTCCATACCAATACCACGCAAATGTATTTCTAATAGGGTTTTTCGTAATGTGTTAAACCGCCTGCAGGTCAAAAAGAAATGGTCTATTGTTTCCAGTTCATCACAGAATGCGCACAGTGGCGAAGGTGCCTGAGCGGACCTGTGTTTATAGAAATTTAGATTTGGTACCCGGCAACGCAGTCTTGTGATAGCTACTTCTTGTTTTCGAGTGCGGCAAAAGTCTCTTCGCCAGGGATATAATAAATGACGATATTCTGTAGAGTTTGTTAGTGCTGAACCTTTAAAGACTTGCATAAGCGTACGTCTGCGGAATTGAGCAGCAGTCACATAAGCGGATGATGGACAGAGCGGTAGAATTGGTTCGCTGATTCACGACTTAGCTAAGTTCTTGTTCTTGTTCACCTATTGCTCGTGGCGCATACCCACTGTGGGAGATTGGCGAATAATTGAGTTGCTTTACAAAACAATGCGCAGTTTTAGAAATACTGAGGTGATATACTAGAAATATCACAGATTACCTAAGAAGTGGGGGTGCTTGATATACTGCATATAAATGTTTAAATGAAGAAAAGAATTTATTCTTAAGTATAGCACTAGTCTGATTTTTATGCTTATATAATATAGCAGCAGTTCATGTTCTTCTGAGCCTCCTTCATATCGTGAATTTCTCAGGTAGCACAAGATTATATAAGCGCCTGGAAGTAGACAGGGAATAGCTGCTCATAATATAAGTGTTGTGCAATGTCTGGCTTCAACCTAGTTTTAAGATAATCTACAACATGCTCTAAATATGCAGCGAAAAATCCCATTTTAGAAACTGAATTGCTAAAATACCCTAAACATCTGAGAGCATAATACTTTAAAATCTATTTTCTACACGTTTTTAAGATGACATGCAGGATGGTTCTTTTTTAACTTGTAGGATGTAATCTTGTAAAATGTAAGTGTAATTAGGCCACTTAAATATGAAAATTCATATGTAACAGTGATCCTGCGGCCTATTGTACATTCTGTAAGCATTTTAACAGCGACGCCGCTTAAGCTATCGGTAAGTTGTGCTCCCTCGTACAAGGAAACAACACGAAAGAAACGAAAGACAGGGATGTTAACTAGTCTATGAGGGCTAGTAAGCTACCATACACGAAATAAAGGTGTTGGGGGTTTAAAAATGGAATAGGAGTGAGAGAAAGAGTACACGTTAAGCTTACAATCTTCTGTGCAAGCATGCTGCGTTCAAGAATTTGAGCACCACCTTCCTCGGCTGAACTCCTGATGAACTCTCAGGTCGACATTCTAGAACGGTTTCATCTGTCATTGTTCTCTGATCTATGGGGTGTAGAGCGGCTGTGAGAGGTAATGTGAGCCCATTAGCGAGGTCAGTCGCAGAAGATAGTCGCTGTAATGTCTCCTCGCTGCCCCAGCTGTCACAAAAAGGGTTGCGATTCATTTCAATTCAAAAGGAGAATGGCTTCGTGAAAGCCACTCACCACCACAAATGGCCAAACAGGGTGGCATCATTTTGGCGTAGTCCAGTAGGGTGTTTAAGGACGCAAAGCTTTCGGGCAGTGGTGGTGTGGGTTGCGCAGTCTACTTGCTGTGTTTCTCGTGGAGACCGTGACCTTATGTGTGACCACTAGAAGCTGGCTAACAGCGTTGATCCTCAATGAGTATATTGTCTTGATCATGTTCCTTTGAAGAGCTGACCGAGCAGCAATGTCGTCATGTTCATTGCCTATCACGCCACAGTGACCAGGAATGTGACGCGGTGTTCTTTCTCGAACGCTGTATCGATGAGATTCCTAACCTCTAAAACCAACTGCTCGTATGGACCATGCCACATGGCTGACAGCAAAGATTACAGAGATGCCTTCGAATCGGTGAAGACTGACCATCGTTGAGGCTTTTCGCGGTTGACTACCTGAAGTGCAGCCCGAAGAGCAGCAAGTTTGGTAGCCTTCAACTGTCGTTAGGTGGTCTGTCTTGAAACTGACGGTATTAGCCTTCGCTGAGACTACCACTGCTGCGCACAAACACTGGAGGGTAGTGGATCTGTCAGTATAGTTATGCAAGTGATCAGCATACTTCTCGAGCAAGAAAATGAGATATAGCTGCTTCAGCACTGGTAAAAAAAGCTCAGATTTTTTTTTGTTATTCCCGGTACGTTGAAGTGCACATCAGGTCGAATGAAGCATCACAGAGGCACCAATGACTTAAACACGTGTCTGAAACCTGACGCAAAGGGGGCAGCATAGTTTGAGTTTGTCAGACAATCAGACGCCCGTGATCTCCCTAAAGGCAGAAATGCAAGATGGTGGCAATGAGCCCGAAAAAAGTGCCTGACATCAGCTCTCAAGGATCGTACCAAAATGTGCGTTCAAAACTCCACAAGCGAGTACGCAACACATTAGTTGGGCAAGTTGCACCGAATACGGCAGGTATGAGCGTTAAATGAAAAATCGGAAAGTGCTCGAGAAGCATGTACATAGATTCGGGTGCTCGTTGATGAGAAGTACGTAGTCGCAATTACCGGAGCCCATCGCTGTGGCCTCCCTCATAATGCTGTCTTGGTTTTGGAACGTTAAATTGTCCCAAGAATTGGTTAAATGAAAGCTCGGCTGGAAACGTGAAAAAGTGGAAGGAGAAAGAAAGAGTGAAAGAAAGTGAAAAAGAATGAGGAAGAGAAACTATAGAGAGAAATAAAGAGAATGAAAACATAAAAAGGCAGGTAGAGACAAATACAGAAAAAGATGTTGAGAGAAATCTACACAAAAACAAGATAGAAAAACAGAGAAAAGTTGAAAGAGAAGAAAAGGGAGATATCATGAGAAACACAGCGAACAGAAAGAAGCTGCAAGAGCAAAAAAGAAATGGCAAGAGAGAAAAAAATAATGGCATAAAAAGCCAGCAAGACAAAGAAATAGTAAGAAAGAGACAGAAAGAAATAGAAACAAACATACGAAAACTAGACCTCAGAGACAGAGAGAAAGAGCAAGGGGTAGAATAAAGAAGGAAAAAATACCCAAAAAAACAAAGAATGCCACCCAACTCGTCGCTTCTTACATGCTTGGCACCACTAGTGCGAAGCTACCCTAATTTTTAGGAGCGAAGCTCGTTATGGTCTAGGACAATTCCTGATTCCCTGGCGTACCCTGAACTAGCATCTCCTTATCATACAATAGATGGCGTTGTGTGAATGTGTCCTTGGAAATAATACCACTAGATGGCGTTAGTGGTTTTAGTGTAGTTGACGACTTCGTATAGTTGGCAGGCAGACAGACAGACGGACGAACGGACCGACAAACGCACAGACACACAGACAAACGGACATACACAGATGGATGAACAGACGGACGGACGCTTCGCGCTACTCATCATCATTCACTCCGTGCATGAGTTGTGAATTTCTTATCGGCCGCCTCATAATCTACATCTCACGTTGCACGGCACTGGCAAGGTTCAATGTTACTTATATCTGGACAAACCTTTTTAAAAGCTCTGTTTTTCACATCTAGGTTCAAGTCTGCCTTAGATATAGCCACAACTATCACGCACCGTCGCGCCTACTGACAGCTGCCGACACTAAGGCTTACAATCATACATTCCATGGATGTCGCAACGAGTTACTACAATTCGTCTAGAAAAACTACCGCTATGCAACGCCTGCACGTCCATTTATTACACCTACCCATGTTAGAAGTTGAATAGTCAGCTATTCGTAGAACGTCAGCAGCTGTATGCAGACATACTCTCTAGTGTCTGACGAGTTTCTCTGAAACTGCATGAGGACATTTTTCTCACGTGTCCACATAGAATGTTAAATTTAGAGCCATCGTTTCCGTCTTGACTCACTACCCCAAGACAACCCTGTTTCTCTTCCGATTTTTCTATCCCATTCTTGACGCAGTGCCAAGCTTCTGCGTTTAATCCGGACATTTGCCATAAAGCCTCGCATTCGCGTCAATTCTGCCGATGGCTATATTTTCTACGACCTGTGCGCCATTATTTTATCCCTACGATCATCATTTGAGGTGTTCGATACGGTATGCTTCATCCTTCTGCTGACGCCGTCCAAAAGAATGGCCATTTCTTCACACTGGGACTTGTGCCAATGCTTCACTCACGAGTTAGAACTCATGGACTCCTACAATGCACTTGCACCGTATCTCTGTGGCACAGTTGAGCCCCTTCTCGATTCAAAAAACTTTTCACTTGAGATGTTGTGCCCTCATTCTGGCATCAAACTCATCGTTAGTAATCAACTCGTGCTTTGGGGGCCTAAATAGCAAACAAATGGAACAAGTTTTCGCCAATGGCTTCTCTGAAAGTCACAATGGGTGCTGCCGCTGTAGCCCGCTTTTTTTTAATATGGTAATTGTAAAGCACAATGCATGTGAGCGCGAAGAAACTGGATTTCCACCGGAGATCATTTTTTTTATGAACTCTGGTGTCTACGTCATTGGTTTTGAGTGAAAAATCAGGACGAATTCAAATAAATAGTAAATTACATCCTTTTATACTGGCATTCGAACCCAAGCCTTCCGGGTTGTAGGCAGGAGTGCTACCACAGAGACATGCCAGCGCTAGAAGTTTTCTCGGGGAAAAGTTATACAGGCGTTATACAGTTTGAGTAGAGGCTGAGCCAAAATTGTCGTCAGCTGTCATTTTACGTCAAATCAAAGGCCACGCCTAGAAAAGCCTGGAAAATGGATATGTACGCGTGAATGTACCCTGATCAAGTATTTCGGTGTATGCTTAGAAAATTAGTTCGGATTCCAACGTACCCTGCGTCGCAAGACCGTATGAGCTTCTCGTCACGTGCACACACAAGTTGACGTTTCTGCGACCGCTCCGCTGCGTGGCTTTGTTCATGCCTTACAGGCAACCCTTTCGAATGTTGTGGTACAAAACGTCATCCCAATTAGCCAAAGTGGCACGTGAAATCACCAGAATCAGCAGGAGACTAACATCACAATATTTTCGATGTTGGTAAGTGCACCTTGTGAAAATCGTCTTTACGGCAGAAAACTTTAAAAAAGGATATCAGTAGCTGCTGCGCTTCCCACTTAGAGCCATCGGTGTATAGAGATTTGTATAACAGAGTAAACTCAGCTTAAAAAAACTGGCAGCATATCCACGGAGTGAATGATGGAGAGTGGGGCGAAGCATACGTCCGTCCACTCGTTCTTGCTTCCGTCCGTCCATGCGTCCGTTTGTGTGACCGTCCATGCATCCATCCGCCCGTCCGTGCTTGCGTCTGTTCGTGCGTCCGTCCATGCGTTCGTCCATGCATCCGCCCCTGCGTTCGTTCATGCGTCCATCCATGCATCTGTCTGTGTGTGCGTTCGTCCATCTATTCAACACTCCAAGTGCCACCGTCTCGCATCTTTTCATCATATATTCCCCATTTTTGAAGCACCGCCATCCAGCGGACATTCCAAGGACTAAACGAGAGGTGGCACACGCACACTTTCTTACGGCTTGCGCTTTGTGTCTACTTCCCACCTTTAACCCCCTCGAGTTCACGGTATATACTAGTTCACTATATTCATGGCACTGCGGGCCAACGCTCGCTAAACCTTTCTAAAACCAAGGAGGCTACGCCCAGCGAGTATAACGTAGCAACCTTTTGCTGTCAGATCGTGCTCAATGTACATGCCAATGGCTGCTAATGGGAAATGAGAGACAGGAAAATTCGGCTCATACTTTCTTAAGGCTCGTTCACACCGAAGGCGGGGCGGCCAAAGCGGTGAGGCGGCAACGCGGGTAGCGGGGAAAACCTCCTCTCCAGGCGGCGAAAGCGGGAGAAAAACCAGGCGGCAAGGGCGATCGCTCTCGGAGCAATTTTTTGCCGTCTGCCGAGGCTCGCCGCTTTGCCGCAGGCAATCAGAACGCCACGCAGCTGAGGCACGGTGGTGGCGCGGGTGTACGTTTGGCAGAAGCATTGACACGTCATAGCAACACGTGCGCCAAATCACGAGTTGCCCGCCTCTTCTGCCGCGCGGCCAGACGAAGGAGGCATGAGGTCTGAACAGGTTCACGCAATCGCCACCTCGCCGCTTCGAACTCCCGCTTCGCCGCTTTTCCACACCGCCGTAGGTGTGAATGAGCCTTTACGGCTTGCGCTTCGTATCTACTTCCCACTTTTAACCACCTGGAGTTCACGGTATCTACTAGTTCATTGTATTCATGGCACTGCGGCTCAACGCTCGCTAAACCTTTCTAAAGCTAAGGAGGTTACACCCAGCGAGTATAACCTAGCAACTCTTTCTTGTCAGATAGTGCTCAATGTACATACCAATGGCTGCTAATGGGGAATGAGAGACAGGTGCATTCAGTTTTTAGTTAACGTGCAAGCCGCGAACATTTTATTGTTCAACAAAGCACAGGAGAAATCTCCAACCGGCACCACCTTGCAGGTCAAAATGTAACACTGGTTACACACTACGACTATGACTACGAAGCACGAACGGGTGCCGCTATAAGAAGCTTTGCCCCTAAGACTTGGTGTCAGTACTTATTTCAGACGTATAATATAGGCGGGTAATATGTGTAACCGTACCAGGCGTGACACCGTGTCAATAGCGCGATGAGTGGGCATTTTATAGGCCCGTCAATTGCAAATCATTGATGTACAATTGCCCCGCCGCGGTAATCTAGTGGCTAAAGTACTCGGATGCTGACCCGTAGGTCGTGGGTTCAACTCCCAGCTGCTGCGGCTGCATTTCCAATGGAGGCGGAAATGTGGGCCCGTGTGCACAGATTTGGGTGCACGTTAAAGAACCACAGGTGGTCGAAATTTCCGGAGCCCTCAACAACGGCGTCTCTCATAATCATATGGTGGTTTTGGGACGTTAGCCCCTACATATCAATCAATCAATTGATGTACAATCCATTATCATTAGCAACAACTTTAAGAAAGTGTGCGGCAGTGCGTGTTGCCTCACAGATACATATTGGGCGTTTTGCTGATTCCCAGTGTCATAAAATATGTCGTAGAGGGCCCATCGAAGTCGCACTTCAAAGGGCCATTCTTAAGCACGCATACGTTCGTTTTCTTTGCGGCAAATGCGGGATGTGTACAGGTAATGAAGCCTCGCACAAAAATGAGATAACCATGCAAACGGAACCCAAGTGTATCATCACGTTCTAGTCTTGAACTTTCTTCAAGTTACTTTACATTGATGCGAAACAAGACTGCAGGGCTACGGTCTCAATTCCTGACCATTGACAGTTCAATTAAAAATTTAAAAACGCCGATGCAATTCCTGTGATGAGACAGAATTAAGGTAGTCATAATTAACCTAGAATCGTTCACTATATACGGTGTGCCTCGAATTCCTGTCATAGTTTTGATAAGTAAAAACCAGGAATATCTCTCTGATTCGACAGAGAAAAAAATATCTTAATGGAACAGAAAGTCGCATTCCATTTGTTATGCCCACTTTAGATATAGCTAACACATCTGAGGGGACTTTCGAAATAGTGGACCTCCAAACGTAAGCAACATTAAGGTGAGTTAGGCTAGTGGTAAAAGTTTAGTACCAATTAATAGCTTCGATAACACCGAAGACACGGATGAAGAAAGCAGACAGGAGAATACATACGTCGCAGCTTACGAGCAATAAGCCTGTCCTATCTCCTGTTTTGTCCACGTCTTCGATGGACTTCAAACTAAATAAATAATAATAAAAAAGTAATCTCTTCTTACACTGACACGCACTTACCTGGGCTGTCGTCTCTGTAAAACAACCTATTAGGTATTTGCTTATTTGAATCAAATATCCTGCTTGGACAGTTCACTTGCTTTTGGAGCTGGGGTATGTTTCTATTGCACGAATAATCTTTATCGAAAGGAGGAAATGCACAACCAGCTGTGTTATTTTCTTGATAAGAACAAGATACCCAAGACGCACATTCTTTTACAGTACGCCCACGAAGACCCAGAGGAGTGCCTCGGTAACGATGTCGAACAACCTCTTAAACATCTCAAGGAGTTTGTGTGGCGCATGATTTTCTCCGTGGAGTGTTGCACATCAGAGCAGCCCTTGGTCTGCCTAATTGCAAGCAATAAAGGATGACCTTTCGTACTGATGATTTCATATTAAAACACTGTGGGTATTTAATTGAGCTCAAAATGCTTTACCTACTAAAAAGAATATTGAACTTGGTATAAATGAATATGCCATTCACAATTATACTGTTACATTACGCCAGGTACTCGCAACATGCCTCCTGTTTTCACGCCTAGTCAAGTGAAAGCGAACAAGCTCATATATTATGTTCAGCACAACAGGATACCAATATTAACATTAAGACATACTTTTCATTTCTCAGAAATCATTCGATCATTGTAAGAACACCGGATATCTTTTGTCACCTTTTATAAATCCATAACACACAACTGAATACGATCCCAATAGCTCCGCTAAAAAGATATACGCACCATCTCAACAGCCACAGCCTCGCCACGGTGGTCTAGTGGCTAAGGTACTCGGCTGCTGACCCGTAGATCACGGGATCAAATCCCGGCTGCGGCGGCTGCATTTCCGATGGAGGCGTAAATGTTGTAGGCCTGTGTGCTCAGGTTTAGGTGCACGTTAAAGAACCCAGGAGGTCAAAACGTCCGAAGCCCTCCACTACGGCGTCTCTCATAATCATATAGTGGTTTTGGGACGTTAACCGCCACATATCAATCAATCAATCTCAACAGGCATACTATAACGCTATCTCACCAGCACGATGCACTAACAACGCCAGCACGTGAACCTCTTTCTCAAAACAAAATTTTAGTGAGCGATAGCGTGCTGTCTGGAAATATCGAGAACATGTTACGCAGAACCTATTTCAACAAAGATACTGAGATTGGTACACTTCCCCTGATTCCGTTGCATTTATGCGTTAATGTCCATTGTAGCGTAGACTGATACTGATCAAAATTATTCTGAATAATAGTAGCTTTTGACAGACATCACTTCACAGAAACTTCAAGCTCCTCCTCCTCCTTGCCTTATAGCAATGCACATTGTTCTCCGCACCAACACTCCCTTTTTTGAACAACTAAATAGCGTCAACATGTTTAGAAAATCATTTTTGTTACTAAATCACAAAAAATAACGACATCTTTCTAAAAAGAAGCCTGATGAGATCCGAACGGCAGCAGTGTTGCGCACGGGTGGCGTCACGAGTTGAATGGCGCTAACGCAGATGCTGCGGTGGGCGCTTGAAAATTCGTACGAAGCGATGGCTGGCGTTGGTCTTGTAGGTGACGCGTACGGACATGTTTCAACGCATACGCTGGGTGCGTGTCAGGTTTATTTCGCTTGAACCTACGGTCCTAAAGCCCCTAAGCTTCTTGACGAGCCGGCTGTGTAGTGAGCGGAAGTCACAGCAGTTGTTGCGGGCGAAAGAGCGAGGCGGCAGCTGCGTGCACCCAGGCGAGTGCGCAGCAGGCGAGGGAGAAAATGACGACAATGCGCAGCAGTGGCGTGGCCTACTTGGCACCGCGCCAACACCTGCGACGCGCGGCGCGTTCGTACGGAAGTGCAGTTTTACACAGTGTCACGGACGGCCATTTATGGCGGCCCCGGGTCACGGCAATTAACGGGCGCCGTACTTCCCCACTGACCGTAGGAACGGCAGGCGCATGAAAGGGAGCCGAGAAGTGCAGAATGGGGTGCTCTTCTTGGAACGTCGCCGTCGACGATTGATTCTTTTGTAACTGCGGTGGCACCTGCAAGGTCGTGGAAGGCCGCGATGTACCCCGAACAAGGATTAGGCTACGGGACGCACCGGCTGAGAGCCAAACAGTCTGACCGTTTCCCACGGGGAAAAGCGTGGGAAACCCTCTGGTGGCCAAGCCGTATGACAACAACCCAACAAGTTGTCACTCTCGCTAGTTGAGGGCCCTCGCCCAATTAAAAAGGGGTGGGGTCAAAATATTTTTGGGGCGGAGTTTCCATCAATTAAACGCGCATGATTCGACCCATGTAGAGGTCTCTTGTCCCCAAGAAAAAGAGCGAGGAGACACGAGGGGGATTTAAGGGCAGGATTTTGCCCTGCTAGGCAGACTAGTCGCTGACCAGCATGGTGTAGAAACAGATCAACAAGTATCTCTTCTAGAAGTTTTTAGTGTGGCTCTGTATCGGCTGGCCACCTAAACTTAGCCGTTCGTCTAGTTATGACGCGATATTAACGTCTGCAACGTAGACATCGGGACTTCACCTCGAGTTAGCTCAGCCTGCTCGAAGTCACCTGCAAGCACTAGCCTCCCGGAGCCACCAGCGTTGCAACACCGCCGACATCGCAGTCGTGCCCGAACTCTCTTCGACTTCTCGCATCCGATCGTCGGAGACACAACGCTGCCGGTCATCACACGTATGCCTTCACCTGTTTATATCTTCGAACTTTCTCCTCCGTCGTTCTATTGTTGTTAGTTTGTGTAGTTTGTATTATTTCTCTCGCGTAAGCTGATTTATTGTTTTCTTTATATGTATTTTAGTTGTATCAAGTGTTGATGTATTTTGTTAGTCGTATTGAAGTGTTGTACTAGATCCCGTGTGCTGCAATATCACTAGAGTAAAGTTTGTTTTGTTTTTTCACGTCTCTGATCTCTTCACTGTCTCTGCTTGCGTACGGAACGAACTAACCTGTTGTCATTCCCGTCGCCGACTTCGCGCTGGCGACGCTAGAGTGGCAGCTTGCGATGAGGACGTTCCGTACAAGAGTAAGACAGTGAGGGGTGAACGAGAACCGTGCGGACAGCGTGGTGATAGAGCCGCACAGTTGAAGCAGTTGCATCCTGCATATGATTGCGCTGTTTGTCTAGTGGCATTATAGTGACAGTTGCAGTATGGAGTGTATGAATTTTGATAAGTGGATCGCGCACGGTAAACAGTTAGGCCTCGAGGGCGCCGAACTGAGACAATGGGTTAAGGAGCAGCAGGAGCTGGCGCAGGCGTTAGCCAGAGAAGAGCGGGCACTGGCCCGGGAGGAAAAGGAAAAAGAGAGGGAGAGAGAACGCGAAGAAAAGGAGAGAGAACGCGAAGAAAAAGTGAGAGAGTGCGAAGAAAAGGAGAGAGAGAGCGAAGAAAATGAGAGAGAACGCAAAGAAAAGGATAGAGAGCGCAAAGAAAAGGAGAGAGAACGTGAAGAAAGGGAGAAAGAATGAGAAGCGGCAAGGGAAGCGGCTAGGGAAGCCAGAGAACGGGAAGTGCAGTTACTGCAATTAAAGATTTGCCTCAGTGAAAGTAGCAGGTTGAGCCGATCCAGCAGTGAGCACGGCGGTGCCGGGGAGGAGCCTAGTTTGAGAATACACGCAGGTAGACTGCTCGTCCCCTTTGACGAAGGAAGGGACGACTTAGATGCGTTTATACGTCGGTTTGAGAGCATCGCCAGAGAGCAAAAGTGGCCTGAAAGCCAATGGGCGACGGCGCTTTCGACATGTCTTACAGGAGAGGCACTAAGTGTTTATGGCAGGCTACCACCTACAGATGCAGCGGACTACACCAAGGTTAAAACCGCCCTCCTGAAGCGCTTTCGCTTCACGGCGGATGGGTTCCGAGACAAGTTTAATAAGGAGAGGCCAGTAGGGATAAAACAGCACACGGTGATATAATGGCAGGACACTTGGGCACGCAGAAAACCAAGGAGCGGATCTCGGAGGAGTTCTTTTGGCCAAGCATCACAGCTGACGTAAAAAGGTTCGTCGCCTCATGTGACATTTGTCAGCGCACCATACCAAAGGGTCGTGTATCACATGTTCCACTGGGGAGGGCACCCATAATCGACACCCCGTTCAAGCGAGTGGCAATCGATATAGTGGGACCGATTCACCCGCCCTCAAAGCATGGGAACCGATACATTTTGACTTTGATGGATTATGCCACCCGGTATCCAGACGCAGTGGCGCTCCCGAGTATCTAAACTGAGCGAGTGGCCGAAGCCCTGGTCGAGATGTTCTCCCAATTTGGCGTCCCCCGCGAGGTACTGAGCGACCGTGGCACGAACTTCACATCGGACTTGATGAAGAAAGTAGCGCGGCTCCTTTCCGTGCGCCAGCTCCACACCACCCCATATCACCCCATGGCGAATGGCTTGGTGGAAAAATTCAACGGCACCTTAAAATTAATGTTGAAGCGCATGTGCGCCGAAAAACCGAGAGATTGGGACCGCTACCTGGCACCTCTCCTCTTTGCATATAGGGAGGTTCCGCAGGCCAGTATGGGGCTTTCCCCCTTCGAGCTTCTCTACGGCCGCCATGTGAGGGGACCCTTGGCGATACTGAAGGAGCTGTGAACGAACGTCGACTTGACTGAAGAAGCTAAGACGACGTACCAGCATGTCTTCGACCTTCGGAACCGTTTGAAGGAAACGTGCCGCCTGGCACACGAGGAGTTGGAAAAAGCCGGAGCACGGTACACGAAGCTGTACAATTGAAAGGCGAAGGAGCGGAGTTTCAACCCCGGAGACAATGTACTGATTTTACTTCCCACTGACACGAACAAGCTGCTGATGCAATGTAAGGGCCCTTTTGAAGTCCGGGAAAAGAAATGTGAAGCTGACTACGTCGTAGACACGGCTGGCGGCAGAAAAATCTTCCACGCCAACTTACTGAAAAGATACGAGGAGAGGGACAGCCCCTCCACCAAGGTGTGCAACGTGACATTTGGTGCTGTGGAATCGAGCGAGGACGAGAATCTTTCAACCCCTGACTGGCTGAAAGTAGAAAGGGAAGAAGACGTGAAGCTCTCCGACAAACTGGACGCTCAGCAGATCGGACAGCGGCAAAGAATTATCAGAAAACACGATCGTTTTTTCTCGGATGTCCCGGGAAAAACTGACTGGGTCCACTGCAACCTCGAACTCACCACGAGTAACCCCGTCCACGTGAAACAATACCTTCTTCCCTTTGCAACGCGGGAAGGTGTAGAGAAAGAGGTGCGGGAGATGGAGAAGCTCGGCATCATTGAGAAATCAGAGTCACCTTATAATTCGCCAGTCATTTTGGTAAAGAAACCCGACGGTACAAATCGACTGTGTATCGATTTTCGACGCCTGAACAACGTTCTGGTGGCCGACTCCGAACCCA